CACTAGCATCGGTGGACACACATTTGATACCTTCTGCGCATAGATCACATTTAGCATCGGTTGACACATCTTTTGTACCTTCTCCGTATGGATCACTATCATCGGTTGACATGCCTTTGTTACCTTCCATGCATTGGTCATCACTAGCATCAATTGACACACCTTTGCTACTTTCTACGCATACATCATCACTAGCATCTTTTGGCACACCTTTACTATCTTCTCCGCATAGATCACTAGCATCAGTTGATACACCTTTGTTACCTTCTCCGCATAGATCAATAGCATAATTTGACACATATTTGTTACCTTCTCCACATAGATTACCACTAGCATCGGTTGACGCACCTTTGCTACTTTCTCCACATATATCATCACTAACATAATTTGATACACCTTTTCTACCTTCTCTGTGTTGATCATCATTAGCATCGACTGACACACCTTTGCTTCCTTTTCCACATAGATTACTAGCATCGTTTGACACATCTTTGTTACCTTCTTTGCATAGATCACTAGCATCAGTTGACACACCTTTATTACCTTCTTCGCATAGACCACCATCATCACCCCTTTTGTTGACGTTTACACCTCTGTATTCAGGAACATTTCCTTTGGTTTCAAGGTTGTCTTCGTCGGAGATAGCGTAATCATATATGGCCTTATTGATTGGATTGTAAAGTAGCGACCAAGCTAAGTAAGCTTTTTCAGTAGCTTCTTGTGTGAATGGGAAAGTGTTAACTGTGTCACCCCATTCCAAAAGATCCATTACTTTCATGATGTACTCGCTTTTAAGTGGTCCAGGGCCAACCATCTTAAGAATTCCATAGCAATCCAACAACCCGTGGGGGAGGCGGTTTTCTGCAGCGATAAGGATGTCACAAATGACCAAGACTTTCTCAAGCTCTTGATGTAGTTTGTTGCACATTGATTGATTCATTCGAATGATATGGCGAGCGCCCTTAAAGTCACGCTTCTTTAGAAGTCGGTGACACATTCCGACTACATCATCTTCAGATGCTGTGAGGTATTGTGAAGCATTTTCTTCGGATGATGACATGGAGACGACTTACGAAGTTACGATAACTGTGAAAGCTCTGCCGAGAGAAAGTGAGAGGTGTATTTTGGTATTTTAGATTAAATGGTGAAAATTCTTAGCACAATGAGACTATGATTTTATATTTGAGTTGTGAGGATAATGATTCAATATTTGGCTAAGCAGTTTTAAAATTTGAATTACCGTTTACCTCGCGGGAAAGCGTTGACTGTTTTTTCTTAGATAGATAATTATTAAATATTTTTCTATACATGCATAGTCAACTATTTTAAATTAAATTATTTTTGAATAACAAATTGAGTAATAAATCATTTTTCAAATTTGACTTTATAATTCAACAATCTCCCATTCAATTTTTAAACAATAATAAATGTAGAGATAAGAGTGAATCTTTTTAGTCAAAGACTCTAGGATTATATAGCTGGGTATGTTGATTCTTATTGGTATACATATTGGATAAAATTTTCTATATAAGCTAGTCAACTATCTTTTTAAGTTTTGACAGACTAAGATTTCTATAATAAAATTAAATTCTATTTGAATTGATAATTTAGTAGTAATATATATCATTTTTAGAAAATAATTTAGGCTTTTGTAAAATGTTAGTATTTATTATAATATTTTAATGTCTTTAAAATTAAATATGCATATTTCTCATATGTTACAAAATTTGAGGACATGTGACATTAATCTTAATGCATCATAATCATATTCGTTTGAGTCTTTAAATAGGCCTAACTGTAATAAGATATGGACATACATTTAGGAAAAAAGATGGTTGGCTACACAACTATAGAAGAATACATGGTTACACATGCCAAATATTATATTATACACTCAGGTACACGAACTAGATGTATTGCATGGCCACATGCATCAACTATACAACGTCATGTACTCAACACCATAGACATAAAATTCCAGTACACCGGTCACTGATTTTGGCGTTGACCGGTGTTGACCCCGGCGTTGACCAAAAAAAATATTCAATTTTTTTTTTTAATTTAATTTATAGTGTTAAAAAAACTAAAAATTATAGTTATTTTATAATGAATTTTTATGGTTTTGTATACTTTAATAAACTATAATCTTAGGAAGAAAATTGTAACAATAATTTTTGTATTTAAGTAAATCACATAATAAGTTAATGGTTTTGATTGACAATGTGAAAATAAGCAATTCTCTTACTAATTCATAAGATTTTTCGAGTTTCAGTTTAGATTATAATATTTTGAATTATTTTACTATTAGTTTAGCTCTAAATTTTTAAAAATAACTAATTATAATAAGAATGAATACATTAAATATATAAACAAAACTAGTGTTTAGATATTGAATATATAT